AACCGCATGTTATTTGATCAATCGGACACCGTCCATTCTGTTAAAGGGAAAGACTCCCTATGAAATGTTATTTGGGCGACCTCCTTCTTATGATAATGTGCGAGTCTTTGGTTGCTTAGCATATGCGCACAATTATGGTTATGGAGGGGATAAATTTGTCAGTCGAAGTAGACAGTGTGTTTTTGTCGGGTATCCTTTTGGGAAAAAAGGATGGAGCTTGTATGATTTAGGGTCCGACATGTTCTTTGCTTCCAAAGATGTTACTTTCTTTGAGCATGAATTCCCGTATGCACACAAAGAGGATGCACAGCCGAACAAAGCACAAGATTGTGGAATAAGTGGGACAGATGAGATGTTGGTACCATCCACTTATTCACCTGGACTAGCAAATGGCGAGATGGAGACTAACTAGCGAGGTGAACTCGTAGAAGAAGGAATCAGTGTAGAAGAAGGAACCCACGTAGACCCGAATGCCAATACTAGTGAACCTATGCATTCTTCTGACGTCACCACAGAAAATGCAAACGAAGACAGTCCTGACGTCAGGGGGGTGGCAATGTTGAGCAACAACAACACTCTGATTCTCATTTTGGGCGTGGGCATCGACAGGAACAACAGTCCACAAGGTTAAGAGACTATGTGCTTCACACCACACAGTGCTTGAGTCCCTCTCCGCATCCCTTTGCAAGCTCACTCGGCCAATCACATCATGCAGGTAGTCCTTATCCCATAGATAACTATGTGAATTGTAACAGTTTTTCTTATTGACATTGTGCTTTCTTGGCAACTATTACTGCAGGAGTTGAACCTACTTCTTTTGCTGAGGCCATAAAGGATGAAAAATGGAAGGATGCAATACAGAAAGAAATACAGGCACTTGAGAATAATTAGACATGGACCGTAGAGCCTTTGCCATCCAGAAAATGAGCTATAGGATGCAAATTGGTATATTGAATCAAGTACAACGCTGATGGGACAGTGGAAAGATACAAAGCCCGTCTCGTGATTTTTGGGAACAAGCAAGTTGAGGGAATTGATTATAATGAAACTTTTGCCCCATTTGCAAAAATGGTTACTTTCCGTACCTTTCTTGCAGTCGCAGCAGCTAGAAATTGGGAGCTTCATCAAATGGACGTACATAACGCATTCTTGCACGGTGACCTTCATGAGGAAGTCTACATGAGAATGCCTCCTGATTTTCAATCAGATAAACTAGGTATGGTGTGTCGGTTGCGAAAGTCTCTATATGGCTTGAAACAAGCGCCAGGATGTTGGTTTGCTAAATTAACCGCAGTCTTTAAGACATATGGGTTTCAGCAATCAGGTTCAGATTACTCCCTATTCACCTTTCATCGAGATAGGGTACATGTGCTTGTCCTCGTGTATGTGGACGACATTATTGTGTCAGGTAATGATCGTATGGCAATTCAAGTCTTCAAGAAATATTTGAGTGACTGCTTCCATATGAAAGACTTGGGACCATTGAAATATTTTTTGGGCATTGAAGTTGCCCGAAACTCAACAGGAATTTTTCTGTCTCAACGAAAGTATGCTCTGGATATTATCACTGAAGTTTGATTACTTGGTGCAAAACCTGCTCCTTTTCCTATGGAGCAGAATCACAATCTAGCCTTGACAAATGGGCCTCTCTTATCTGATCCTGAGCGATACAGGCGCTTGGTGGGCAGACTTATTTATCTCTCAGGTCTTATTGTGTGCATGTTCTGTCCCAATTCATGCAGCAACCACATGAAAGACATTGGGAGGCTGCATTGCGAGTGGTGCGCTACTTGAAAGGAAATCCTGGTCAATGAATTCTCTTCCGTTCAGATTGTGACTTGCAGTTATATGCATGGTGTGATTCAGACTGGGCGAGCTGTCCTTTGTCCCGGCGTTTCCTATCTAGGTGGTTTATTCTACTTGGGAAATCGCCGATTTCCTGGAAAACTAAGAAACAACACACTGTGGCTCATTCTTCAGCGGAAGCAGAGTACCAGTCTATGGCCACGAGCACATGTAAGTTAAAATGGCTGAAGGGATTGTTATTGGCTCTTGGAGTGACACATTCGAACCCAATGCAATTATATTGTGATAGTCATGCAGCCTTGCATATTGCAGCAAACCCAGTGTTTCATGAGTGTACGAAACATATTGAAGTCGATTGCCATTTTGTCCGTGATGAGATTCAAAATGGTTGCATTCATCCTGCTTATGTGTCGACTACTGTTCAGTTGGCTGAAATTTTTACAAAGGCATTGGGGTGGAGAGAATTTGAGTATTTTCTCCGCAAGTTGGGCATTCACAATCTGCATGCTCCAACTTGAGGGGGGGGGGTTGTTAGGATTGAATTGGGAGTCTCCAGGATTAGGAGACTCCGCTGAGTTAGGATCGAATTAGGAGTAGGAGTCTCCGTTTTGAGTTTGAGTTCCTATAAACTTAGGAGATTCGATGGCTGTGTATATATATCTAAATCTTCAATGAATGAAAACAAGAAAAAGAAGAAACCAGAAAAACTCTGGTTTTACACCTAATAAAAAATTTGATAATAGATTTGTTTTTCTTTTTTTATTCAATAAAAAGTGTTTTATTTATATTAAAATCCCTTAAAATCCAAAACCAATAAAAGATATAACTATTACTTGAAAAAGTAGAAGATGAACAAAGAAAAAATATTGTATATATATATGTTTATTAAATAAGATATGCTTTTTATTATATAATTTATATTATCAAGTTAGGCTCGAGCTCAGGCCAAGTTGTTTTTTGAGAAAGTCTGAGTTCGAGCCCACTAGCCTAAATTATGTCTAAGCTCGACTTAAAACGGGCTAGGCTGGCCAAACCCGCCAAGCTACCCGACCCGTGAATATGTCTATTCCCAATTAATGGTTAGATAAGTTCTTGTTGTTAGGGATGAAAACAAAACAGATTGGATTCGAATAAGGACATATCCGCATCCGATCTAACACTGTTAATAATCGATTTGTTCGGGTCTCATAAGTATGGGCATTTACTAGAACACCCCCTATAGTTTCACAAATTTACTTAAACCTACCATATAGTTTGCATTTTATTAAAATACCCTTTATAGTTTGCAACCTATTTACTTAATTGACCTTTCATTAAGAAATATTTGTTTTGCCATTTGAATATGGAAAATGTTCACCCATGGTTGTTTATTCCAAAAGTAGCCCTAAATTTAGTGGAAAATGTTCAAGGGTACAGATCCATGGTTATTTATTCCAAAAGTACCCCTAATACTTTTGTATAGAAAACAAAGTTGACCAAATAGAGAAAAATAGAGGGGTTGTCCATGTTTTAGGTAAAAATAATCATTTTCCACTTTCATCTAAAGGAACGGTTAAGTAAATTGATTGCAAATTATAAGGGATGTTTTAGTAAAACACAAACTATAGGGTAGGCTTTAGTAAATTCATAAAACTGAAGGGGGTGTTTTAGTAAATGACCCATTCAAATTCAAATCTAATGAAAAAGTCAGATTTTCGTATCTTATGCGATTCGATTAAACTTATTAAAAAATAAAAAATTATTAAAAGAAGAATCAAATATAATAATTAAAAAAGAAAAATAAAAAATACAAGTATCTTTTCAACTATTTTCATTAGGGCTGTTCACGGGTCAGGTTGGGTCGGTTTACTAAGGTTTTTTCAACTGACTCGACCTGGTCGGGTTACCTAAACTTGAAACTGAAACCGGCCCAGTGTTAAGCAAATTTGACCTGGTCGATTTGAGTCGACTTGGGTCGGTTTTGGCTCTAAGTTCAACCAAGCTTGACAGAAACTCAACTGCAATAATGGGGGTGAACCAAGTTAGAAAATTAGAATAGAAGTTATCAATAAAATAGAAAGTCAAACTTTATTAGAGAAAGAAGACTGGAATTTGTATATTTCAAGAAACATTATAATCTAAGTAAAAAATGACACATAATTCTAATTGTAATTGGTTGCCTATTTGGTGTAAAAGACCATAGAAAATAGGATCTTTTGATTATTTTCTTTAAACTTTTCCAAAAAAATTCCTTGTCTAGTTGTCTTACAATACTGCCATTAATGTTATTCCTAACTAGAAGACTAGAAATTAAGTTAGGTTGTAATTAGGATAGAGACAACTTAGTTAAGTAGGAACTAAGTAGGTTGTAACTACTAACTAGGAAGTAGGAACTAACTACTAACTACTAAGTTGGTTTAGTTCGGGTCGAAACTGATCCAAACCATCGGTTTATGATGTTTTACAATCCGAAATTGAACGGTGCTGAAGATAACCCGGCCGACTCGGGTTGGGTCGGTCTGGGTTGGTCGGTTTAGTCGGGTTGGGCCTTCTTATGAACAACCCTAATTTTCATGTATTTTATAAAAAAACAATTAATATAAAAAATTTACAAAAATATAACGTAAATAATATATTTATAAATAAATAACATATATGTATTATGTATTTGTATAAACAAATAAATAACATATATATCGGATTAAATCTTACAATCCGGTTCAAAATCCGAACAAGAAAAATCAGAATAATACAAAATAGAACCAATCCGATCCATATGCACCCCTACTTGGTGTGTAACGTCATGAACGTGTTTTATTTAAAGCTTAACGCCCCCGATGGAGGTTCGGACTTGTTTTGTGCATTTATTTATCGGTTCGCAATGGGATATATTCGGGTCGGATCAAACCTGACCCATTGACAGCGCCAATTATTAGGCTATTACTTTATTAGCCCTCCAAGTTTCGGACCTTAAGTTAATAATATTAATTCATGCACCCGGAACCTTGAAACTTACTTTTACCAATCTGGAATTTGGCAATGTGGTGGATCTTTGAGCATGAACCAATTTGCCTCGTGGAAAGTTGTATAGGTATCGTCTAAACCGACTAAACGACCCGAACCGACCAGCAGCCCATCATCATCTATAACTATTCATTATTCACATGGAGTGAAAAATAACAAATATAAAAAAAGGGGGCTGTCATTCAAATTGGATTTTGAAACCAGATCGGACGCCAAACTACTTGAAATCCGACCTAATTATCTCTGCACTTTTTAGGACCTCCCTTTCGGACACTCCGAACTTCTTACAGTTGCACTCTCGTCTTCTCCGTTTCAACTTTCAACGCGTGAGGGAGAGAGATAGAGGGACTGCCCCTTCCTTCTTCGGTTCTTAGTATCTTAAGGTTTATTGAGATTGTTTCAGAGAAAACCCTAGCCAGATATTTTTTTTTCGTTTTAGGGTTTATCTTACGGTGTTGGCTTCTAGGGTTTATGAGAAAAACCAGAGTTCGGGATCTTGTGTTTCAGCAACAAACCGATGGTTTCGTTCACCTGTGCTTGGTTTTGAGATGCAATTTCGCTCTCCTATAGTTGAATTTCTAGGGTTTTCGCGATGGACGGAAGGAGGATTTCCGTCAGCCCTCGCCCTTGCTGCAATCGCCGGATTGTGGCTCGGAAACGTCAGCGCGTCGATGGCTTCGTCAACAGTGTGAAAAAGCTTCAGAGAAGGGAAATTTGTTCACGGCGTGATCGTGCTTTCAGTATGAGCAATGCCCAAGAACGGTTCCGGAATATCCGGTTGCAGGTTTATTTTTTTCGCTGTTTGTGCTCTTCGATTTTTTCTTCTTACGCCTTTGCAGCTTGTGTGCCTATTAGTGCTTTATTTCTCTGTTTCTTCCTGCGCTTTTGGGCTAGAATGTTTGGTATTAAGCATGGTATATGTTTTTGTGGAGAAGTTTCCTACTATGCTTATTTGACTTCATTAGAGCATGGGTTAAAAGCTAGAGCGTTTAAGGGGTGGCTGCAATTTACTTAATCTCTTGAGCTGGTCTAGTTTTCTTGGGATCATCTGATACGGTTTACCTGATGTTTTGGTATATATTTCAATACTTGCCTCAGCAAAATAGGGAAATACATTCTACATTTAAATGCATACATTTTACAAACAAGCTTTGGATGCTTCACCGCTTGACATATAAGACAAAATTGACTCCCCCTCTTTATCAACCTGCATAGCACGTGCTACCTGATAGTTGCAGTAAACTTAGAGAATTTGGTTACTTGAGCAGCCATGCTTGAAGTTTCTTGTTTTATGTCGTTTAATTTCAAATTACTTGGTCATTATATATGGAAAGCTTCTATCTTCTTAAGTCCATAGTAGGGCGTTATATTGCCAAGAGTTAAAAATTTATTGGAATCTTTGAAATGTTGATGATACATGAATTGGTATAAAATGGTGAACAAATAGGATACTAATACAGTACAGACAGAAAGAAGAAAAAGGAAAGCAATGTTGAGATGGAGAAATGATTGATAAAATAAGAAAATTAAAAACAGATTTTGCCTTTTTGATTATTAGTGCAAGCAGGCTACAATGTGACCACACATGGTTATTTTGTTGGCGACATAGAATAGAGACATTAAAGATGGATCCTTCCTGTACATGGTGAGAGGACTATATCAGCAACAGTTCAGAGTTATTCAAGGAAGCAATTCGGCTTTAAAATGTTAATTTTTTTGAATTGCAAGTAGGAGATGGAATAGGAAAGCTGAGTAAACTACTGGAAGAAATTTCTTTCTTATGGCCAACCCTGCTGATTATTAATGCAACTTTGAAGAGTTTTAAGCAGTGTGCAGTTGAATGCAACTCTATGGCTATCCATGCTGAACCAGAAAGTGTGGTAGTTGGTGTAGGGTTCTGAGTTGGTTCTTGGGCTGCCTGGCTCAGCAGGTTGGAATATACCTTTTTTTGGATGATGGTAGAAATAGGCTTTATTAATCTCAGAAGATTGGGCCTTGCATTTTGTTTTGATGGGGGGGGGGTCTTGGAATGAGGAATGAGGAAATTTCATATTCAAGGAGATTCAGCTGTCATTATAGGGGTACCATTGAGGAGATGAGGTATAGCTAAAACTATTCAGATATCAGTACCCAATTTGGCAATCAATTAACTACAAGAAGTTTGCATCAATCGTGTTAGTCTCTCCAATCTGAGCATGTAAGAACACCTGTTCCAGTTACATTAAAGAAATCCTATCATTCTATCAGGATGAGTGGGGTAGGGCACTGCATTTATGCTTGAGAGATTGTGTTTTGGTTTCCTTTAACTACCAGAAGAGAACTGAAATAAAGCTGCAGAGAAATATTAACATGTGGTTGGGTATAGACGTGCTAATTTTTGAAGTTCAAATCGTTTACAATTTGTGAGGTCAATCAATTGATATAAGGCTTTGTTATGCCTCTAACACAACTCTCTAAGCATTTACTAGGTGATTTTTCATAGACATGGTAAATTGGTGATTTTTGTGGGAGGGGGTTGGGGGAGGGTTGCACCCTGTTGCATAGCCCATTTGCCTACCAAAAACAGTAAGTTTGCTGTTCTTTCATCAGTTAACCATATGGGGCATTGCACAATGCACATTGCTTTTAACAACCACCTAGGATGCCCCATATGGTTTAACTGATGAAAGATCAGCAAACTTACTGTTTTTGGTAGGCACATGGTTCAACAACCACCCAGGATGCACTCCATTCCTTTTAGGTCATGTACTCATTGCCAGGATTCTTTTCAAAAGTTTTGGAAAGCTGGATCAAGTGTTTAAATTTTATATAGACATGATACTTTTTTGATTTTATCAATGAAAAAAGCCTGTGTTTTCCTTACATGGGTCATCATATTATCTGTTTGATCATAGAAACTCCATTGGCTTTGACCCAGATTGGGGAATTAGGAGATAACTGAGTGATTTGGAAGAATTAGAATAAGCATGGTAAAGATACAGAAGACAAAGGATAACACACTTAAACTACTTGATTGACTGGGCATTTATGATTTCCAAGGGCTGACTAGATCAGCATTTTGTGCTTTTTAGTTTTTTTGGTACACCAGACCAAGTAAAGCTTTTATTTGTTGTAATAATATTTCACATTTACTGTTTCCAATAAAAAATCACATTCCACATTATAGCATAAATATGAAACTGCATAGTTGTTTTTTCAAGTTCAATACACCTTTTTTTTTTCTATCTGACCAATAAACACCAACTAAGATGGTGTTTCTGGCTAAGTATTTAGAGCATTTTACTTCTATTATTATTTTTGACCATTTTATTACTAAAAGTTTTTCTACAATAAAGATGTGACATCTCAGAATATTTTTCTGGTTTTCACTTTTCAATTTGTCACACCAAAGTTGATATTCACCCACTGCTTGAAGTTCTAGTCATGCAATTATCATTACTGTTTCGGCATATGGGGATTGCTAAATGTGTTTTGTCACTGTTTTTGCATAGATGCTGATGTGTTAAGCTCATACAATGAGACAGTCATAAAATGCAGCTCTGATAGATGACATCAAAAACATTTCCTGGTGGAAATATGTTATGAGCAAGGATTAAAATATTGATATGATATGCCGATATTGTATCCATATTGTTGCATTTAGATATACATGGATACGCCGATACATAAACTTTTTAAAAGTTTTGAAACTTTGGTGATTAATCCCATCCCTATAATCCTATTAAAATGAAAAAAACTAAAAATAAAAACTTGAGTGTTGGGCACACCGATATGTGCTGATACCAAATTTTGGTACTGGGTTGTATCACAATATTTTAATCCTTAGTCATGAGCCTGAATTTCAGACTCCTGTATCGGCTTAATTTTTCATACATGTTAGACCGGGGGGGGAGGGAATTCAAATTTCATCATGATTTCTTTTTCCTCACTTTCCTGTCACACGGAATGCTTGCTTTGTACCATACTTTCTTTAATATATATCGAGTAATCCACGTACCTACCGCTATTCTTGCAATGAAATCTTGCATTTTTTGGTATTAGGAGGAATATGATACTCATGATCCCAAGGGACATAATACCATGGTGCTACCTTTTCTGAAGAAGAGATCAAAGATCATTGAGATAGTGGCAGCCCGTGACATTGTTTTTGCCCTTGCACAGTCTGGTGTATGTGCCGCATTTAGTAGAGGTAGTTTCAATTATTTCTGTCATGCTTTGGTTATAATTTGGAATGGCTTGCATTACCAGTTGCTCACTGTTTTTTTTTTTTTTTTTTTTTTAATTTTCTTGATACAGAGACAAATCAAAGAATATGCTTTTTGAATGTGAGCCCTGATGAAGTCATTCGTAGCTTGTTTTATAACAAGAACAATGACTCGCTTATCACAGTTTCGGTTTATGCTTCAGACAACTTCAGCTCTTTGAAGTGTAGAACCACAAGGATCGAGTACGATCTCTCTCTCTCTCTCTCTCTCTTTTGTGTGCGCTCACTCGCTTGCTCCATATATATAGGTTATTTTTATTTTCTTTACATTTTCTCTTTTTCATTTTTTTTCTAACCAGTAATTCACCAATATAAATGGTCTAGGTATATCCGGAGAGGTAAGCCAGATGCTGGATTTGCCCTTTTTGAGTCAGAGTCATTGAAGTGGCCTGGGTTTGTAGAATTTGATGATGTAAATGGAAAAGTTCTTACGTATTCTGCACAAGACAGGTATTCTTAGAACCTTTGTAATGTGCTCTCTCATAAATCAATTATGCACATGCCAATTCTTGATTCTGACATTTTGTTTTTCTTATTAGCATATACAAGGTGTTCGACTTGAAAAACTACACAATGTTATACTCTATATCTGACAGAAATGTACAAGAAATAAAGATTAGGTACTCTCTCCTCCCCACCCTCCACATGCATACACACAAAAACATTTTTGTGCACTTGATTTCTCTTTCATCATTCTCTTTTCCCATGTAAAGCATTTTCTATGTAGTTTATGCTTTTGAAGTTAAAACCTAAGTTTCTTTTTTTAAAAAAGGAGAAACTGGGTTAGTCATACTCCAAAAATGTTTTGAAATGTATTGACAGAACTTAGGGGCCATTGCTTGGTATAATGGTAAAATATTGGTTTAACAAGCATGACAACATGTGTTATAGTGTAAGAAATTAGGTGGTTCAAATGGTACTCAAGAGACATGCAACTAGAAATAAAATGGGTAAAAAGGTTGGCCAACAGTTTGGCTGATGATTTGGATAAACTGGGGGTTAATAGACACATTTTTTTGGGTTCACAACCTCTTGTTGCACTTCTCTTTCCTAATTAATGAATGGATCTTTTCTTTGTTGCTGATAAAAGAAAAACATGTGTTACAGTCTAAGAACAGCCACCTTGTGCAAAAAAAAAGTCCAAAGGTTATGTTTGTATCCAGTCACTTGATTTCTAAAGGAATGGAGGGACCCATTCAATGCTCCCTGTGCAATGATGAAGGAGAATCAGTTCACCACCTATTAATTCATTGCAAAGTCTCCTAGAGTATTTGGGTGTACAGTGTACTTTCTTCAACTATTTGGAATCCTTTGAGTGTTTCCAAGGGACCTCAGCTCTCTTATATCAGTCTGGTCTTTGTGTGGCCTAAGCAAAAGAGGAGTAATATTATGAAAACTGGTTCCTTGTAGTATGTTGGGGAAGCCAAAGATAAGGAGGGATTAACTGGAAGTATGGAAAGATAGTTAGCTTCTTGATCCATGGTTGTAAGGATCTTCTTATAGCAGCCACTCTTGTTTGCCCTTTTTTTAATCATTTTGTGCAGTATTCTCCAATGCCCTATACATGATAATAAAATTTTATTTTCACCTTTCTGAGATAGTCTTGTGTAATGTAGCTGTCCATGGGGACAAGACAACCTTGGAAGGTAAATGAACTCAGCTGATACCAATCTAGTATCGTTCTTATTTGGTTGAAAGTGACATTGTTGAATCTCTTCAATCAGTAGTGCCATCTCTTTGGATTCCAATCTTGTATGTTGTGTTGTAAATCTGCAGACCAAACAAATCTGCCTACCCGAAATGTCATTAGCAGTCTTGTATTGTTCTTTGTTTTGTGCCAAATCCAAATTGAAGATAATGAGTTAAGTGTCTCATGAAGGCCTTACTCCAAGCCCAAGTTTCCTTCCAGAAATATGTTTCCATCCCCAGTGTAAAGGTATACATTGTGAGAACTTTTTTTGAATTCTTGTGATTTTTTCCCAAAGGGTAGATCAGTAAGTTTTATGGATTGGACCTGTTTCCCAATCAGGGTCAGGCTTCCATTTTGTTTTGAATTACATTTCTGCACAAGGCAATTTAATTGCTATCTTTGTTCCCTTCTTTGTAATAAACTAGCTACTATATTATCCTTTTAGTTTTTACCAGAATAGAGGTTCCACCCCTCCCATTTTTTTGTAATTAAACACATCCGTACACACACTCTTTCATATTTATGTTGCATTCAATAGAATGGGGGCTCCATTCATTTTACCATTCTTGATTTTTATCAAACATACAAATGCATTTTCTCTGATCTCCCTCTTGCATTAACAGAATTGGATTCCTCTCCCTAAACTTAGGCATTCTTGATATAATGGTAAAATGTTGTGACGAGTTTAAGAACATGGCTTTGGGCCTCAGACTGGCCACTTTTGTATAAAAAATGCTGGATGTTGGGTTCTTAACCAGTCCACTCCTTCCAATACTCTGAGGTTCTTAACCAGTCCACTCCTTCCAATACTATGAGGTTCTTAACCAGTCCACTCCTTCTAATACTCTGCATGGTCAGGACCAATTTTGGGAAATGGCCTTTTTATGCTATTTGATGTTGCTTTCATTGCACTGTTGATGTTTGATTCTTTCATCTTACATCACTTTTTGTGTGTGCTAATTGATACTTAAACTAGGGAAACAAGCTATTTTTTTTTTCTGTTTGATAACAAACATAATTTTATTACTTTATTTAAAAAAAATATATATATTGATTACAATGCTAATGTGCCTAGTGTCCTTTTTAAGTTCGCATTGACTAGCTTATGCCTTAAATATTTCATTCACTTGATGCAATTCCCCAATACGTTTGACTACCCCTGATTTTGCCAAACCATCAGCTATGTGATTAGTTCAGTTGATCTTGGTGTCTACCTATATTGAACTCCAATCTTCAATGACAGCTTTGCAATCTCCATCGATATATGACTATATTTCTATGAACTCCCTATGTTGTTCTTAACGTGGGCCACTATAACCTTTGAGTCTCTTTTGGCTTGCAAATCCTTGGTATCAAGAGATTTAGCCAACCTTATTCCATGCAACAGTGTCAACAACTATGCTCTTATAGAATCACTATCTCCTATTTGGTCCAGAACATATTGCTTGAAAATGTCCTTCCCACTTTCTGAAAACATTTCCAATTCCCAATGGCCTCAGATTCCTTAAGCTGTGTCCATCAAAATATAATTTGATTATATTTGGGAGGTTTCCACGTCAATGTTTGCCCAGGCTGTACTGAAGAAGAGGGCACAAGCAGCCAATTTCTGCATGTAATCCATTGTGAATTGTTTGGAAGATCCAGTCTTTAGCCAATGACCTCCAATGTTGTTATCTCTAACTTCTTCATTACTCCTTGATGCATTTTTAAAAATCCTCGTGTTTCTTTCTTCCCAAATGCACCAAAGAATGGATGCACCTACAACCAAATAAAGAGAAGGTGAAAAAAGGAGGGTTTGAAAAGGCTCTGTAGATCCAAGGGGTGGGGTGGGGTGGGGAGTGCCTACAATCAAATAAAGAGAAGAAAAACTCCCAAATGTTATTAGCACAATGACAGGGAATTAGTAGATGGGAAATGGTCTCACTACTTGCCTTACAGAAAAAAAGCAAATATGAGGAGATGAAGTCCAGAAGGAACTTCTCTTTTTAAAGTGTCTAGTAAGTTTTGTGAAGTAATTGGTAATAACTGAACTTGCAAATGCTCCTAGGCAAGAATACCTGATCGGTGAACTAAAATTATGTAAATTATTGTTTATTGCAGGTTCAATAACACTTCAAAAGACAAAAGTGAAAACATTGGAGGCTGAAGCTACAACTGTACATAGAAGGAAATTGAAAGAATTAAAATTATATATTTCTCTAAATTTTATCTAAAGGGTCATTACCCAATGATGGTCCCGGCTGGGTCTTGGGAGGAATAGATTGGATATGGACCTTAACATTCTTTTTTTTGTTTTTTTGTTTTTTTTTTTGGCACCAAGCTGCGTTTGTTTGCGGTATAAACATCATCTAAAGGGTCATTACCCAATGATGGTCCCGGCTGGGTCTTGGGAGGAATAGATTGGATATGGACCTTAACATTCTTTTTTTGTTTTTGGCACCAAGCTGCGTTTGTTTGCGGTATAAACATCATCGATGTAAAACTCCATCGATGAGTTGCACACCAAACTATTTGAAATTTCTTGAACTGTTGAAAAATGTGAGCCATAAGGCTCCTAGGTTAACCATTTTCTCAATAAAAAATGGAAAATGTACTGAGTATTTTTTTTGATGAATTACAGAGAGTATTTTTATATTATATCATTTAATACAATGAATAATATTATGAATTGTAAACAAGGAATGAGAATGATAAAAGCTTTATAGAAAGTTAATTATATTCTTATAGACCATATAATAACTACAAAGTAATCCCATCGCCATCGGGGTTGGGGGGTTAAGGGAGGTGGATGAGCTACCCTTGTTGTGTAGTCCCATGAAGCAAAAAATATATTAACTACTAAGTTCTAAATGTCAAAGAACCTTTCTCAATGTGTTGAAGTATAGATATGTCATAAATACGTATATTAGTTATTTGTAGACCTGTTCATGGGTCGGGTTGGGCCAAGCTTTGTGTTTGTATCAACGGAATACATTCAGGCCTGAGCCCTGAGCCCAGCTCGACCCTCATATAAAGCTTGAAGCTTGGGCCTGAGTCTGAGTCTGAGCCCGACCAGAAATTTAAAAACAGATTTTTTCTTTTCTATTCAATAAAAGGTGTTTTATTTATATTGAAAGCCCTTGAAACCCAAAAATAAGAAAAGATCTCACTATTAGTTGAAAAAAAGAGAAGAGGAACAAAGAAAAAAAATATTGTAGTCTGAGTCTGAGCCCGACCAGAAATTTAAAAACAGATTTTTTCTTTTTTTATTCAATAAAAAGTGTTTTATTTATATTGAAAGCCCTTGAAACCCAAAAATAAGAAAAGATCTCACTATTAGTTGAAAAAAGAAAAAAAATATTGTATATATATTATTAAATAATTTTTTTTATTATATAATATATATTATCAAGTTGGTCTTGGGATAGGGCTGGGCTTTTTTGAGAAAGCCCGAGCCCAAGCCCACGTGGCTAAAATCATGTCCAAGCCCGACTTAGAATAGGCCGGTCCGGGATGGTCCGTTGGGCTACCCGGCCCATGAACAGGTGTAGTTATTTGAAATACTATATGAAATTCGAAGTGTGTTGAGATGTTTACCTTCAGCTTTGCCTTGAGGAATGAATGATGTTTAACATCTTATTAGTTATTTGAAATAATGCATTTGGGAAACAATAAAGAAATTGAAAGTTGGGCATGCTTGAATACGTTTTATATGCTATTTTTTGTTTTGTTTTTGCATTTTCACTTTCAATATGTTTTATATGTTATGTTTATGCATTTTGATTTGAGCTAAATAGGCTTTTTAAAACATTGTTTAAAATTAAAGCTTGATTTTTAATTGATTCTATTTTTAATATTTTCTTAATTTATTTTGATTTTCTTACTTTTTTTGTTTTTTTGCAATTTATTATTATTATTATTTTAAATCTTGTGCCTTGGTTCAAAAAGGTGTGCTCCTCGCCTTGGCCTTGTGCTTTTAAAACACTGATCTATCTGGTGGGATTTTGGGAGGGATGGACTGGATTTGAACCTAAATTTTGGCACAGATTTTTTTCCCCACAAAATGGACACTCCCGGACTTGAACCAGTGTTCTCATGCTTATCAGTTTTACCATTACACCAAGCAATGCCTTCTATAGTTTGTTTTGATGTAAAGGAATTTTTTGTTGGATTGGTAATTGGTGGTTGGATGTTTTTTTGATACATGCTTAATCGTGTAATTTGTCATATATTCATTTCCAGGTTTGCATGTGTTCCTTTCTTTCTTTTCTTTGAGCTGCTTTGTATGGTCATCATGGGTTAGATAGGTTGGTATATGTTAATTTCTTGCATGTGATTTTGCATGCTTATTATTTCATATATTGTTTTTGTTTCAGTCCAGGAATAATGTTGTTGATATTCACAAGAGCCAGTGGCCATGTCCCTCTCAAGATTCTATCAATAGAGGATGGCACTGTTCTTAAGGCCTTCAACCATCTTCTTCATCGAAATAAGAAGGTGGATTTCATAGAGCAGTTCAATGAAAAGCTTCTTGTCAAGCAAGAAAATGAAAACCTTCAGATTCTTGATGTAAGATTTTCGTTGTTATTTCAGTGTTGAGAATAGTAAATCTAATTAATAAACTTACATTCCTTCCGTAATAACTTCTTGGTTTTGTTTTAGGTTCGTACTTCTGAGCTAACAGAAGTTAGCAGAACCGAATTCATGACTCCATCAGCATTTATCTTCTTATATGAAAATCAATTGTTCTTGACATTTCGAAATCGGACTGTGGCTGTTTGGAACTTCCGTGGGGAGCTTGTAACTTCGTTTGAGGATCATTTGTTATGGCATCCTGACTGCAATACAAACAACATCTATATCACAAGTGACCAGGACCTTATAATTTCTTATTGCAAGGCTGATTCTGATGATATCTCTGTGGAAAATGGTACCCCCTCACCCTAATCAAAATTTAAGATTAACCATATTATGAATATATCTTTGACAAATATTAATGATTTGTCTTGTATTCATGATGTGCTTATGAAGTTGAAATATTCATTGTGGTTCACATCACCTTAGCTAGTAACTGTTTTAAACCCCCAAAACACACACACAAGAGAACATACCCCTGTTTTTAGTGTTTATAAAGGACATTTAATACCAAATACTTCTCCCCCTCTACCATATGTTTGCGCATGTGTTAAAACTTCTATTATGGTCTTTGTTGTGGGTTTACCTTAGCCTTTTTTGTTTCTATATTTTGGTCCAAGAGGACCTTGCATCGGGGAGGTCCACTGGAGCTACTTTATTAGATCTATGCAACAAGACTGCTATAAAGGAGATACTTTTCATATGTTTTGTATAGGAGAAGCCTTTTGTGCCATTTGGTAATGGTGTGTTGTCTGTCAAATGACTCAAATCGGGATGAGATGGATGCCATTTGTTCCTTTTATTTTCCGATTTCGTTTTGCATTTTAGCTACCGAGGATACGGTGCTTGCGACTGAACTGCGGCTGCTTTTATTGAATTATATTGTATATACTTAATATAATGGTCCTTTAGGCACCTAGTACGGGGTTGGCATTTTACTCTTTGCTTGTTTTAGTGATTGTTTCTCTTTTTTGGCAGCTGGCTCAATCAACATCAGTAATATTTTGACTGGGAAATGCCTTGCTAAAATACATGCTAGCAACAGCAGTCACAAAGATGAATGTAACAGTAGTGGTGGTAAAAGGAAGCGGTCTTACATCTCCAGGATTAGGAACACAGTTGCTGAAGCATTGGAAGACATTACTGCTCTCTTTTATGATGAAGAACGCAATGAGATCTACACTGGGAACAGGCAGGGTCTTGTTCATGTATGGTCTAACTGAAGATGAAAATGTTGAATTTGTTTCTTTCCAGATCGAATGATTGGTGTCACCACAAGAAGGTTGGTTTCATCGGGCTGGTATCACTGCCGACGAGAAAAATGTATCGTGGCTCTGTATCATTAAGTGTTTCTGTAGATTTGGTTTCCTGAATTTATTTTGTGGGGTTACTGCGTGTGAATCAATCAAATTTGTTGTGTTGTAGTCCATCACTAGTGTTTAGGCCATCTATTGTATCTGACATCTGTTAGCCAAGACAACCAAGTGTTGCCCGGTTGAGTTGCCACCAGGCTTTTTCTGAGTGGTTTCCATTGGATGGATCAGGGGGTTGTTCCAATACCCCGCTGCATCTAACCTTGTTCACCGTAATGGGCACGGTGGACAAAGGGTTTTTTTTTTTTCTCCACCTTCGTATCATACGCGGCAACACTCGATCAAAGTCTTGGCATTATATTGTTTATATTTTAACGTTTATTTATTCTTAAAACTTTTTGTCCACAAGGATTTCTATCCAGTGGTGTTTTTATTTAAGGGCTGTTATTTGTACCATTATGTTTCTTCTTGTTCTTGGTTTCTTTTCTTGCTCCATTTTCAAAATTCACATAAAGGAAATCTGGTGTAGGAACTGAACCCTTTGCCCTTTGTTATATATTTATTTAATTTTGATGGATACCAGATCCCTTTGCCTTTGGAGTCGGCGTCTGATTTCTTCAACTTTGCTGCAATTATTTTATGTTTCTCGTTTCAAGGCCATGGGAAATGATCGGTATTTTCTGTCGTTTGAGTTTGATATCAGCTAAAGATGTTGAAATGAAACGCTTATCACCTTCTCAAATAGCGATTAAAGATTTTAAGGATGTTGTGTTCCTTAAAAATGGCAGAAACAGAAGTTCCTAGAAGATTATTTTGTTATTTAATTATTTTAATAACGATATGACAAAGCAACAAGTCCTTGAGTTCAGCAACTTAAGCCGTTGTCAAACGTCTCCTGACAGTGGACTGTTTAACAAAATTAGTCGTGCATTGGACCAGTTGGATCTTAAAACCAATTGATGCTTGCAGCCTAACGGTCAAGGTTCAAAATATCGATACACCCAATATGCTGGTAGGGGTGTATTGGCGTCTTGATTCTTTTTTTTTTTTTCAAAATTGGTTCAGGGGAGCCGGTCTAGGACCCCTCCATCCCCTGAATCGGTCAGACCCCTGATATATCCATTGTAGGGGCATATTGGAAGGGTTCCGGAACGATACGTATTGGTTGATATAGGCCAATACTTTGTTTAGACCTGTTTCTTTCTTCATTTCTTTCAAAGCATCGGTGCTTATTGCATGATAATGTTTTTTGAAACCCACTGAAATTCTGTTTAGAGGGTGTCCATGTTGCATTTGTATTCCTTCCAAACTGAGCCTTTTTATTTAATGAATAGAAATGGACGAAATAGGTACGTAGTTCATCTTCTTTTTCTCTCAGACTAATTCAAGACTTACCATTCAATAGGAACAGAATAGGTGTTATGTATATATATATATTGCGTAGGTGAACTGTAATTGATTATTCGATCAGCATCATCAAAGCAAAGGTCGTAGGAGGAAGGACTAAGCAGACAAACATATATGCACGGTAGCCGGTGCTGGAGCTGTTGGTTGAGACTCACCACCTATATCATTCATTAGCCTCATACTTGCTCTATGGATGGCGGAAGGAAGGAAGGAAGTAGAGCAGCAGCCGCAGTCCAAAATCCAAATGGAAGAAGAAAGGATGCGAGCTTTACAAATTTCTATCCATTAATATTATACTATACTCATTGATATCAATTTTTGATTGAAGTAATTAATGGTGGTGCAAGGTAGTTAACAATTAATCTTCTCTCAACATTCAAGGGGGGTGCCCTCTGCCCAATCATATTCTTGTTATATATGGTAGCGGTGCTCTGCAACGATTCATTTGCGCTCCACTTTAGGGCGGGCCAGTCTCTCTTTTGTAGGGCTTCTCTACCCTTATCTATTATAGAAGGAAGGGGAGGCACGGCACTCTACAGTCACATTAAAGGGCACGGAGTTCCCTAGTCTAGTAGAGAAAGAGAATCCGATGTTGTGGATGGATTGGGCTCAAATGAAATGGCCAACAAACAAATCAAAGGGTAAGGGGCTACCACACCCACATGTGCCTCTTTAGGACCACCTATTTCACGTGTACAAGGGGCCAATCTGGTCAACATCCCCTCTGCGTATATCTATCTTTATTTTCTAAAATTAAACAAAAAAATAAAAAATAAAAATAAAAAGTAAGCAAGAAGCTTGTTAAGGAGATGCTCTCTCTGCATGGCCTCTGGGGGTTATGCCTGACACTTTTTATTTCATTTTGTCTTCACATATATATAATGGGTCACTATCTATATCTCTCCATATAAGGCTTTGAATCAAATAACAATTTTTAAGGATCAGTTTTCAATCCCTGTTGTTGATGAATTTTTAGTTTTAGTTGAACACCATGCATGTATCTTCATTCTACACCAAACTTGATGAATGATTTCAATCCCCTTCTACCTTTGAATACTTGATGCATGAATGGTTTCTTAATTTTGGCCCTCCCTATTTTTGCAAGTTTATACTAGTACTTCTACTGTGTATATAGCCCAAGCTATGAAGCTCTAAATTAATTGCTATGTAAAGCAGACACCATAGAATGTGATGCTGAAGGTCTAAAGGAGATAGAATTAGTGCAGTTTCTGTTTGGGTGGTTGGTTGCGTAGCAAAGTCATACATACTGGGAGCAAATGCGAAAGAAAGACTTTTCTGCAACATACAGGGCCCACCGCCAGGACGGTGTGTCGGTGTTTTTTTCCTCTTTGGTTGGTTATCTCTGTTTTTCCGGTATCATAGTCGAACCCTTACACAAATACAAGGGAAATGCAAATGCGGGACTACTAACTGGATACAGAGAGAGAGAGAGGATATATACAAAGAAAGCTTTGTGAGTGTGGGGGGACCAACACCAAATCAGCAACAGCATTCATTGTGGGTTTTGGAATGTTTTGTCATGATCCCAACAAGGGAGTGCCATCACTCTTTAGTTACCAAGGACCCCATAAACGGGTTTAGCTGTCTTGGGCCCCTTTACTAGCCACCTGTGTGCATTTTACCCACAAACGAATAGTGCTCACTTTCCACCCATTTAACATTTTTATGGATTACAACGGCCCCACCCCACATTTGTTCTCATCATCATTTATCCTGCAAACACAAGGATGTATTCTTCAAGCTTCAAGGGATGTCCATTATTGTCCACTAAAGAAAGGGAAACCAATAATCATCAAATCATGATCGTATTAAACCATTATTTGGTTAACGAATAACTAGTTTCTACTAGGGGGGGAGCTATGAGAGTGTTGTCAAAGCCAAGTATTCCCTTTCACTTACTTTTTCCATCTCCATCGCACATCATATAAATATTTTTATTAGGGTAGGGGGTGGCGAAATCCATTTCCTTGCAAGGAAAAACTTAACTTCTTTTTCTTTTCTTCTCTCTTCGTCCCACAAGTAGAGAAAATTTTGAATCATTCTAGATATTTTATTTATACGTGTGGTAATAGCTAGATAAATCAAAGAAGCTCATGCTATTTATATATATATATATTATATTACCTAAAAGAAATTCATGATTTTTCTTTCTTTATTTTTTTTTGGGGGTTTGGGTATGTAACGGATTAAGGAATAGGAATGCCTAATATAGAAAGAGTAGAACGGTCAGGGGTCTGATTTTCAGGTTGAACAGTCCCACCATTCGAACCGAATGAATGGCCCATTCTAACAAAAAAATAAAACCGCCAAAATCATTGGATGGTTCAAACAATTCAAACACCTGGGTCAACAGTTTACTGACCAAATCAACAGTTTTTGATGAAAAAATGGTTCTGAGGTAAAATGGAACCAATCATATAACTGATTCCCAATTTTCCGGTCCAATCCAGTTTTGAAAACCATGGACCTCTCTCTTAATTTGTGAACCACGTACAGCACTAGTAACATGACTACATGGTTATTTCAATGCATAACTTCGTTCTACGTCTATATATATACTGATGAGGGCAGATTTGGCCCTCCAGTGAAATTGCGACACGTGGCACCTCGTGACAACTAGGCAAACACCCAGGCAACAACTTACCAAGTTGGTGTCCC